GTGCAGTTTGAGCTATTGGAACGGAGTCCTGGAAACATGCACTTGTGTCATTTTACCCTTATTTATTATTCTTATTCCACCTCATTCAGTTCGTGATTGGAGAAGGTGGCAAATTTAGGTAGCTGGTTTAAGATTATTTTTTGTTGGAATTTTAAAAATTATAGATGATGTTTCAACTAATTGCACCATGCAACTGTCTTTGGTTGGAAATTCACAGCAATAATTGCCTAAATTATTTCTTTGAGATAATAATGACCCACTTATTATGCTTTGTTTATGATATCATTCTCTTCATGCTGGATTGGTTGAAGTTCGGTGGTAAGTCTTTCCCGTTGTTCTTTTGTTGTTAGAGCACCAAACATTGTCTTCTACCACCATTTTGTGTGTTGGATAAGACGCACTCTTTAACTCAAATCATTGTCTCGTGCTTCTGGAGTTTATAATTTATATTGGCAGCCAACCTAGATTGTGGAAGATGGTTTGTAGATTGTCGATAGTGAAAACCCATTTGTAAAATAAGGGGTGCTGTTTAGATCCCCGATTAACTTCATGCCTGATCTGTCATTTATGCCTGTGAGCGAGTTTTGATTGAGAAATGGATACATTATCCGGTTCCAGTTGTTGCTAAAAGTTTGGGGGAGACAAAATTACAATTATACCCAACCTTTGTACATCATCCCAAACTGAAAATTGCCATTATACGAAACCTTTGTACCTCATCTTTCAAGCGTCCGAGGCACCGCGCCATTCATCTTTCAAACGTCCGAGGCATCGCCCCATCATCCAAGCAAGGACAGTTGATGATATGTTGTGTCCCCTGTACTAACATTGCAGAACTATCGAGAAATTTGAAGGCAAAAGTAGCTTTCAGGTACAAAGTGAAAAGAGCCATAAGTGCTCGAATTTAGAATTCAATGAAAATCTCAAAACCAAGTCTCAAAACATGTGGTTCTTGGTAGAAGACAGCGACTGCAGTGGAAGAAGAAACTATGCCACTGAGGGATCGCAGAGCTAACTTTATCTGCCATGGCACTTGGTGAGGATTAGCCTGCCAAAGTCCCAAAGTGATTCGCTTAATTAGGACAGGGAAACACCAGTGGTTAGTGTGTGGATCGCTGAAGTTCTATATTAGCCATTTGGCATTTGTTGGATGGTGAAAGGTCACTACCAGTCTACCACAAGTCATGAGGTTGCAAAAGAGAAGCAGAATCGGCCATGTACAAAGAGCCTGCAAAGGAGGCAATGGAAAACGATGACCGGGATTGCATATGCCGACGAGGGCAACAACTAAAACTTCCCTAAACTTTTGCTCGTTTGTGCGTTCACTCTAGTACCCTCTTAGCGACGCGCCATATCGGAACCCGGGTACGGTGTTAAATGGGCAAGGGCCGGGTCGTCACCCCCGTGACGCGCCGTGTCGTGATCTGGGCATGGTGTCAAGTGAGCAAGGATCGGGTCGTCGCTTCCTTAGTGGCGCGCTACATCGGCGCCCGGGTGTAGTGAAAAATGAGCAAGGGTCTTCGCATCTGAGTCGACGGGTGCGAAGGGTAAGGAAGCTAGTCGAACCAACTAGGATCCGTTTAGGTAGTTGGAATGTAGGGTCACTTACAGTAAGTTAAGAGAATTAGTTGATACCGCGCGACTAGAGGCGTGTAAATATATTATGCGTTCAAGAGACTAAATGGAAGGGTCAGAAGGCGAAGGAGGTGGACAATACAGGTTTCAAGCTTTGGTACACAGGGACAGTCACGAATAGAAATGGAGTAGGAGTTTTGATTGATAAGAGCCTCAAGAATGGTGTGGTGGGAGTGAGAAGGCAAGGAGATAGGATTATCTTAGTCAAGCTTGTCGTTGGTGATATGGTCTTGAACGTAATTAGTGCGTATGCCCCCCAAGTAGGCCTCGACGAGAGTGCTAAGAGACAGTTGGGAAGACTTAGATGGCCACAGTTAGAGCTATACCTAGTAGTGAGAAGCTTTTTATAGGAGGAGATCTTAATGGGCATGTAGGTACTACAAGCTTGAGGTTTCGAGGCGATTCATGCGGGTTTTGAGTATGGTAGTAGGAATCGGGAGGGGAGAAAGTTCTAGACTTCAGCGGTAGCTTTTGACTGATGATAGCCAACACTTTCTTTAGAAAGAGAGAATCTCATCTAGTGACCTTGATGAGCGGACAACATCTGTAGCTTGATTGACTTTGTCCTCGCAAGAAGAAAGGACAAACGAGCATGCTTGGATTGCAAGGTGATACAGGAGAGTGTGTTGTTTCTCAACATAAGCTTTTTGTGGCAGATTTTTCGTTTTCAAGTGCGTGCGAGGGATAAACAAGCTAAGATTCAAAGAACAAAGTGGTGGAAACCCGAAAGGGGAGACGTCAGAGGTATTTAGGGAAAAGGTTATCAAAGAGGGCTCTTGGAAGGAAGAAGACGACATAAACAACATGTGGGAGAAGATGGCAACCAACATTCGGAAGGTGACCTCAGAGGTGTGTGGAGTAACCAAAGGAAGTGGAGGCGATGCTAAAGATACTTGGTGGTGGAACGAGGAAGTCCAAAGGGCTATTAAGGAGAAGAAAGAATGCTATAGACGCTTGTACCATGATAGGAGTGTGGACAACATAGAGAAGTACAAGGTGGCAAAAAAGACTGCAAAGCGAGCTGTAAGTGTGGCAAAGGGTAGAGCGTACGATGATCTTTACCAACATTTGAGTACGAAGGAAGGAGAGAAGGACATTTATAGGATGGCTAGGGTTCGTGAGAGAAAGACACGGGACTTCAACCAAGTTAAGTGCATTAAGGATGAAAGGGAGCATCTCTTGGTGAAGGAGGATGAGATCCGACATCGATGGCAAGAGTATTTTGATAAATTGTTCAATGGTGAGAATATGGACACAACCTTTCAGTTGGATGACTCTTTTGATGACACCAATAGGCGCTTTGTGCGGAGAATCCAAGAATCTGAGGTTAGAGAGGCGTTGAAAAGGATGAAAGGAGGTAAGGCGATGGGACCAGATGGTATCCCAATCGAGGTGTGGAGATGCCTCGGGGACATAGCTATAGTATGGCTAACCAAGCTGTTCAACCATATTTTTTGATCGAACAAGATGCCTGATGAGTGGAGTAGAAGTATATTGGTACCGATCTACAAGAATAAAGGGGATATTCAATGTTGTACTAATTATCGGGGAATTAAGTTGATGAGCCATACTATGAAGCTATGGGAGAGAGTTATCGAGCATCGCTTGAGAGCAATAACGCGGGTCTCTGTGAACCAATTTGGTTTCATGCCCGGAAGGTCAACCATGGAAGCCATTTTCTTAATAAGACAAGTTATGGAGCGATATAGGGAGAAGAAGAAGGACATACACATGATTTTTATTGACTTGGAGAAGGCTTATAATAAAATACCAAGGAATGTTATGTCGTGGGCTTTGGACAAACATAAAGTCCCAACGAAGTACGTCGGGCTCATTAAGGACATGTACAACAATATTGTGACTAGAGTTCGAACAAGTGATGGAGACACGGATGACTTCCCGATTAGGATAGGACTACATCAAGGGTCAGCTTTGAGCCATTATTTGTTTGCTTTAGTGATGGATGAGGTCACAAGGGACATACAAGGGGACATCCCTTGGTGTATGCTTTTCGCGGACGATGTAGTGCTAGTTGATGAAAGCCGGACAGGAGTGAATCAGAAACTGGAGTTATGGCGGGAGACTTTGGAGTCCAAAGGTTTTAGACTCAGCAGAACTAAAACTGAGTATATGAGATGTGACTTCGGCACTACTACTCGGGAGGAGAAAGATGTTAGTTTGGAAGGTCAAGTAGTGTCTAGGAATGATACCTTTCGATATTTAGGATCAATGCTACAGAGGGACGGGGACATTGATGAAGATGTTAGCCATAGAATCAAAGCAGGGTGGATGAAGTGGCGGCAAGCGTCTGGTGTCCTATGTGACAAAAGGGTACCATAGAAGCGAAAAGGTAAGTTTTATAGGACGGCGATTAGACCTGCTATGTTGTATGGTGCAGAATGTTGGCCTACGAAAAGACGACATGTTCAACAGCTAAGTGTCGCGGAAATACGTATGTTGCGTTGGATTTGCGATCATACGAGAAGGGATCGAGTTCGGAACGATGATATACGTGATAGATTAGGGGTAGCGCCAATTGAAGAAAAGCTTGTCCAACACCGGTTGAGATGGTTTGGACATGTGCAACGAAGACCCCCAGAGGCACCGGTGCGTAGTGGCATCCTAAGTCAGGATAGTAACGTGAAGAGAGGCAGAGGAAGACCGAAGTTGACTTGGGTAGAGGCAATAAAAAGAGACTTGAAAGGATAGAATATACCCAAAGACTTAGCCTTAGATAGGAGTGCTTGGAAGACAGCTATTCACATGCCTGAACCTTGATTGCTTCTGATGGGTTTCAACTCTAGCCTACCCCAATTTATTTGGGACTTAAAGACTTTGTTGTTGTTGTTGTTGTTGTGGTGGTGTGCGTTCACTCTAGTCGTCACAATGAGTTGGGGCACTCAGTACCAACTTGTCTGTTCATAAATGTGCTGTCTGGAAGAGCTCTACAGTAAGACAGCGACAACAGCAAAATAGTGCACACAACACAAGCATGCTATTTTGTCCTATGGGAAACAAGTAGATATACAGCATTAATGAAAAACGAGAGACACCTTTGATTGCTGGAAAGCGGAAACTATAAGGTTCAGTAGTGAAAGACGTACATTATTTTTTCCTAAGCTAGACACCCTTTGAGCTAAATGAGTTGCTCACGCATTTCCTGTTCAAAACTGACGAAAAAACGGCAAAAAGATTGAACGAAATGTAAAATACCGGAAACGGGACCTCTTAGGTTAGCAAAACATCGAATGAAGCTGGAAATGCATGTAGAAGTGTTAGTGCCAGATGTACAAGCATGGATAATCAGCTCAACTGAAGGAGAAGCTTTTTGTGCTTCTAATGCTGATAGTGTGGGGCGTTTCTTCTCAGAGGTATTGTTCGTGTATCCTCGCTCGGTTCTCTTCCCACCATAGCCTGGCATGCATCTCGCTGAATTTCTCCCGGCTGCAAGCACAAGGGTCATGTAAACAATCGTGTATCTACTGCAATCTTGTATAATTCTATTTAAGCGTAGGCTTAGGTGCCTTCTCTGATTTTAAGTTACTCATGTTGTACACTGCAAGTTTATCATAAGATTAAGCTAGGGGAAAGAACCCTGAAGCATCATGGGACACAAACCTGAACCGAACACGGCGAAGCTCTCTGATCCCACCAGGTAAAGCCCGGATTGTAATATATACACTAGGCTCGTCTTCTTCGACCCACTCCCTCTCCTGGTCGCTTGCATTGCTGATGGACACGGAGAGCTCACCAGACCTGTCGACCTCTTCCGGTGACGAGCTTGTCCTCATTGATGCGTCCATGGATGAGGTTTCTGTCCTGGCTCCACTGATACTTGACAACTTTGGTGTTGATGCCAGGCCCATTGAATCACAGCATTGGTGTCCATGATGGTGGTGGTGGCCAGTACTGTAGTGGTTTGAGTGATGCTCGAGAGAATCTGATGAAGAGTAGCCCATCGCTCCACCACCTTGTCCGTGGAAAGTGCGAGGTAGCGGTTCCTTGTCCAGTGGTGGTGTTACTGGGCTGTCCTCCTTGGAGCTCTAAAGGAAGAAGAAAATGCCGTGGAACAATGTATCAGTTATAAAACAAAATATATCTGTAGTTACTGATACAGATAGAAAGAATATTATGCGTTGAACTGGGGTGTAGTCCCTTAAATTACTAAAAAGCAGATAAATAAACTGAGCGTCCTCACCTCATCTTCAGATTTTGGGGTTGTCGGGAGAGGGACAGTTTGATTAAACCTCTGGACATTGTAAAGTTCCATAACTTTGTCATAATTTTCAGCCCACCATCTTTGTGCTTGCCATTTGTTGAACATCTCACGGCTAGCATACACCGTTACATGCAAAAGGGCAGATAACCACATGGTTATTCAAAGAACTGCTACATAAATAGATATAAGCAAGCATGCGCATCCATATCTGAAACTGATGCTCTCCTAGCATCAGTTTTCACACCTCATAAACCCTAATGCATTCTGCAAAAATAGTTGTAAGTGGCCAATTTATATTTGACTCCTATAAATACAACGAGAAAGTATGAGAATTGCACCATAGGTCCCTGAACTTACATAGTTGTCTCATCTAATCCAATCCCCTACACATGGAAAGGGGAGGGCTAGGTGAAACACGTGCAGGTTCAAGGGGGCTCTGGAAGTAAACCGCAAGCTTGAGGAGGCTAGGTGAGACAATCAATCAAAAAGTTTAGGGGCATGTGTATCTTTGACAGTGATAGGAGAAGTTATTGATTCTCCATATTCATGAAACCTAGATTTCTTCAAAATATTAAATATAGAACTGATGGAGAACTAAATACAGTTCCCAAAACATCTGCCATCATTTAGAATGGAAAACTACATGGTTGAAATTTCCCTATAAAGTGGAGGACAAACTATGAAGCTAACAGTAATGATCTAGAGGGCAATGGGAGATGAATGTGGTTTCCATGCCCCTAGAGTCACAACAAAGCCCTGCAATCAACTGGGAATGGGGAGCTTGGTACAGTGCATCCTGTGACAACATTGGCTGTCAAACCAACGTTACCAAACCTAGCCAGTGATCCACAGAATGACAGAACTCCACATCCAATGTCTCCTTCCTTCAGATCTAGAACCAATATGCTAAAAACAAGACACTTGCACTCATCTTAAGATCCAGCTTGTATTCAACTTATAAAATAAATTATATACATTATATATAATACTAGTGGGGACCAATGAGCATAGCTGGCCATGAGGAACTCCTCTCGAGAATCTAATTATAAAATTACTGCTACACTCAGTAGATCAATCTTAAAACGACCATTCTAAACTCAATCTGAACACTACAAATTTACAGTGAGCATATTCTTAAATATGCAGACTATCTTTTATAGTATCCAGACTAAGTTTACAATAATGGTTTGTAAGATCCACTAATGTCACTAAAACCATTACTTCGACTAGGATATCCATCCATATAACTGGAAAAACGCTGCCAAACAGCATCCAAGTTGGACAGGTCCCTTGCTAATCTGTTGTGGAGAAACAAAAAGCCAAATGGAAAAGAGTAGAAAGCAGACATTTGTCTGTTCTGCTTCTTCCTTTCCATTTAACTTCTGATTGACCACACAGAAGAAATGCGGGCTGTGGGCCTCTCCTGACTGACTGCTTCCTTGATAATGTTACTAAGCCCTTGTTTAGTTTCTCCGCCAAAACTTTACACCCTATCACATCGAATGTTTGGACACATACATATAGTATTAAATATAGACTAAAAAATAACTAATTGCACAGATTGTGACTACTTTGCGAGACGAATCTTTTAAGCCTAATTAGTTCATGATTTGACAATAAAGTGCTACAATAACACATGTGCTAATAACGGATTAATTAGGCTTAATAAATTCGTCTCGCGGTTTACTGACGGATTCTATAATTTGTTTTTTTATTAGTATCCGAACACCCCATGCGACACCCATGTAACATCCGCTATGACACCCCAAAATTTTACGCACTGGATCAAAACACCACCAAACTCTTCCTAAGGAATGCAGCATCTCAAGTACAACAAGTGTACATGATATGGACAGGCTAGAGCAGCGTAAATGACCAAGCTGGCCTTGCCCCACAGTGCACAGTGTACTAGCAGTAGTAAATTCAAAACCCTTTTCCACGGTGGGCAGCCACCCTAGGACATGCGTGCCGACATGTATGGACTTGGGCCTGGCGGCCGCACGTGAGAAGTTAAATGGAGCCCTGTCATAGTGTTGACAATGGAATGGGTCATCCCTCTCTTTTTTTTCTAATGTGATTACCTTTAACAATATGCCAGGTTGTTCCTCTTGCATATTTACCAAATAGTAAAACCCTGCTATATATGGGATTTACTATGTGGAGAATGGAAGGAATGGCAAAACCAGTATATCGAAGACACGCTGCACACAGATTAGCATGTGAGATGTGTGATTGTGGGGTAAACTAATGAGTTGCATAGGAGTGAGAAGTGTAGTGGACATGCATCTCGTACTTAATTTAATGAACTGGAGCCTCTATGTTGCTATTCCAAGGGTATGGCATGCTTTTCATATATCCTCAAATCCAATCTGGATTCCACTCATCTGATGGTAACCTTTTGTGACAGGAAGTTTTCACTTTCTCGCATCCGTTGTCTAAAGGTTTTATTGGGATTCAGATTGTTATTCAAAAGCTTTTGAGCCGCACAGAACAGAAGAAAAACAGAAGAAGAAATGTAATGCTAAAATGGAACATGGGAGTTTAACCGTTTTGATCGGAAACTAAAGCATGAGCCATCATTTAGAGAAATTTCGAAGTGGAGACAAGCCAGGTTAGCCCCAGAATTTAACAATCCTATTGTACAGTTCCCAAGGAACAGTATAGATTCTACTATGTTTAGCAAGTAAAAATGGGCATACCCAGTGCACAGAGCTCCCGCTCTGTGCGGGGTCTGGGAAGGGTGTCAGTGGCAAGCCTTACCCTCGCGTGTGCGATGCGAGGAGACTCTACCGCTTGCACCAGACTCGCCCTTCTATGTTTAGCAAGTAAACTAAAGAAATTACAGTTCCAAGTATGATTCACATGGAGTCATTTAACCATTTACCACGGGTCAACTGCTCAGTTTGCACCGTTAGCAACAGCTAGTTCAGAAGAAGCTAACAAAAGTAACAATTTGCTTCATCTATCTGGAAATGCTCTATCAAACTTACCACCGAGCATTGTTGTATTCACAGTGTGACACAAAAATCTCAATCAAGTTTGCTCAAAAGGAGAAAGCAAACGGAATCGTTTGTGATCAGGTAATCGACTTGTGAAGCAGAACTGAAAATTCATCCCAAGTAGCCAGAGGAACGCACCTGAATCGAATGCGTTTCAGGTCGTTGCCACCTTGCGCCAGCGAGACGAAGGTAATGAGCACGCCGGGCTCCACCTGCGCCACCCACTCCTTGGCATCGTCGTCCTTGCCACCACCACCACATCCGCCAGCGGCTTCCGACGCCATCTCGTCGTCCTCCTCCTCGTCGCCGGCAGGGAAGTCGGTGCGCACGCTCATGGACGGCGTGGCGTCCCCACTCGACAGGGCGGCGCCCCCGCTGCGCAGTCGCGGGGTGGAGGCCGCCGAGCTCCCGGCGCGGCGGTACGCGTAGTGGAAGCGGTCGGAGGCCGAGCCGGCGTCGGAGCCCCCGAAGCCGCTGCTGCCGCCACGGTGGTGGTACGGGTGGTGCCTCCGCGAGGCCGCCGCCGAGGAGCCCGCGCAGGGCTTGCAGTGCCGGTACGCGCCCGACGCCTTGAGCGCCATGTCCTTGATCTGAACCCAGAAAAGGTCCCGTCAGGTCAGTTGGCACGACCCGCCCGTATCCCGTCCGATCTGACTCTACAGCCTCCAAACGAGGCAGGAAATGCTCAAAGCTTCGAAGTTCCATAGAAATTTGCACAGATTGACAAATCGCAGGAGGTTGGATTCGACAAATCTGCGCTGGATTCCAAGCTCCAAGGTACATTGAAGGGGTGGGGAAATCTGCTAAATTCAGGCCAGAACTCCACTCCCTAAGACCAAAATACTGTGCCGAGAAGGTGAGAACCCACCTGGGCGGTGAGCGCCTTGATGGCATGCCGTGTGCTGGGCGTCGCCGCGCCGCCGCCGCCGATGCCGCCTCCTCCGTCAACGACATCGTTGTCCTCCGGCGGCTCGTGCAGTGGCGGGCCGCCGGCGGCGGCGAACTGCTGCTTGGAGCAGGCGATGCACGTGAGCATCCTACGCCTACTACGCTACGCGGCCGCCACCAAAGGTCAGGTCACGGACGCGCGGTGACAGCGTGAGGTGGCGCAGAGCAGAACCCGAGCCGAGGAGGGGGCGGGCGGGCGGCGGTGCGGTTTTATAAACGGCGTCGGCGCGTGTCACGGTGGCCACGCCTGGCGCGAACGGACACGGAGCCTCAGCCGCCCCGCCGCCTCTGATCTCGAGCTCGGGCTAGGATCTGGCGTTGATGGCAGGCAGGAGGCGCGAGGGGGGCGAATGGGGCGTTTATTTATTTGCGGCTGCGCCTTAAATGATCGATGCAAAGTTCACTGACACCTCTGCCCGTGTGGGCTGGAAGACCTTTTTCACTCGTGCAGCGTGCAGGTGCTCCTGCCAAGCCGTGGGGCCGTGGGGTAGGTAGGGTTCCCTCCTGGAAAAAGTGAGAAGACAAGAAAGTTCAAATTTGCCGTGACTCGACTGTTCCAGTGACTGCCGTCGTTCCGTCAAGATTCTAAAGAACTCGTAGGAATAGACCGTTTGAGAGTTGCTATCTTGCTGTAGCAGTAGCGCCAGCGGTAGGAGACGAACAGTATTGCAAATTTGCAATCGGACGTCCTCATGTCCGGATGAATGATCACGGCGGCAGTGTCCCACTCCCACCCCTTTTTGTCTGGTTTCCCCTTGGCCCTCCGCCCTCGCATCTGCTCATCCGCTATGGTCTATGGCTATGGCCGCCGCACACAAAGACGAACTTATCAGTAATATATTTTTTTCTTATAATAAATTAGCATCAACGTCAACCTCACCCGTTTTTTCAGCTGCCGAACAGGGCGGAAGACCAAAACCGAATGAGTGACGTGACGTCGCTCTGGCGCACCCACTCGTCATCCATCCAACGGCGGGCCGCCCCCCTGGCCGTCAATCATGCCCGCTCCGCCCATCAATCAAAGCGTAGGCGCGTCGTCAGAAGCCAAGCCACCCGGCGCTCGGCTCCCGCGCCTCGCCGCGGCTGCCTGCGCGTCCATTCTCCATCGGGAAAGCACGGCGCGGAAGGAAATGCCTCCGTACATCCTCGCATGAGTGGAGTGGTCGAGGGGCACATGCGCGAGGGCCGGGCCGGTGGGCGGTCAGTGGACAGTGGTGGTGGTGGCGGCATCGAGCCGGAGCCGGCGGGGTGGTGGGGCTCGTGCTGTGTCCCAACCAACTAGTAGCTCGCTTTTCCTGTCGTGGAGCTGCTGCTAATGCCGCAACTGCTCCGCTAATCCTTTTTCGTCTTTAGTTAAGGCTGCTTTGTCTGCATCTCGGCTTGCACCATGGTTACTTGATTAGGTTTTGTTTGATACGCATGTATTCATTTCAATTGAATATACATGCATCAAAAAGCCCTTAGCGGAGGTGTTGGCTGCCGCCTGCCGCCTGCCGCACGAGAGCAGGGGAAGGGGAACACGCTCCGTTTCGTGGAGTCCGGAGAAGTGGAGAACGATGGAGGTTTGGTGTTTTTTTTTTTTTTTTTGAGAAACAACGATGGAGGTTTGGTGGACGATGAAGCCAGCCTGGCCCAGCCATTTCAGAAGCACGAGGCAGTCGAGGTTCCGGCCCATCGTCCTGGCCCTTTTCGCGTCGCCTTTGAATGTTTTTCTTTCTGGGCTTTATTACGGAGACGACCATGCATGGTCTGGACTGGACCGGACATGGGCATGGCTACCTGGTGTCGTATGGCACCAATGAGTGTGCCTCATCGTCAGATGGACTGATCCAAGTGATCAAATTGTTTGTTCCGACTTGTGCCTACATATACAAGAATGTCTTCCGGTCTTGTTGACGGCACCTGTGTGGGCAATTGGGGCATTGGGCACGGCAAAATACGGGGATGCGATCGACAAGGGAATTTAGTAAAAATCAGATAGCGCCCGAACGTCTGGTCTCAGGACATGTCCGAACGTCTGGTCTCAGGACATGTCCGGACACAGCTCCCAACCATACAGCGTCCGATCTCAGAACGCACTGCGCCTATCCAGACATGCCCCCATCCCACGCCGCTCTCAGCTCCCAGCGTAATAGCAGGAGTCTATCCCCCCGCCTGTCCCCGCCTAACAGCAGAACGTGCGTGACCTGACGCCCCAATCCTGCGCCACGCCGCGTTGCAACATGTGCGGTATTTTTTTTTTTTTGAGACATATCTATATAGCTATTACAATATATGCAATATTCAAATATACTTTTTGCAACATTTAGATGAAACACTTGCGATATCTTTGTAAACGATTTGAAGCACTTCAAACGTACACTTGAAACATAGGGTTACAGCGCAAGATCATCTTGCTGCTTGGACCGGCGCAGAGCTCTATGCCGACATAGAACTCGACGGCGGCGCGGAGGTCGCCGGTGCAGAGCTCGTCGCCGGCATAGAACTCGACTGCAGAACAGAGATCGTCGGCATAGAGCTCGACGACGGAACGGAGGTTGGCAGCGGCGCGGAGCTCATCGGTGCGGCACCGGTGCGTGAAGCTCACCGGAGCGAGGGCGGCGGGGAGGTCAGCTATGGCACGCGGAGGTCCTCCTCTTGTCAGTCATGTGTGGGAGCAGATGAGACACACGTCAAGATGAAGCGTCCGGATGGGCTGGGCGTCCGCTTCGTATTATTATGGTTACTAAATCACATCAATGTGTGTAACGCAAAGGGATATTATGGACCAATGCTATCGAGTTTCTACTACATAGTGCGTTTTATTTTCTCTTCTTCTTAACATTGAAGGTTAGCTATAGTTAAGTCTCAAGCAGCGACGGAGCCAGTGGTGGGGGGGGGGGGCTCTAGCCCCCCTACCGATCCTAGACACGTGGAGCCCACCTAAGCTTTCTCTTAAAATTTTATGTATATATATGTATTAGGTAGAAGAGACTAAGGTTAAGAGAAGATAAAAAAAACATCTATTCTTTTATTCAGCACCTTCTAAATTTTTTTCTTGTTTCGTCCCTGGTCTCCGGAATCAAGAGGCTCGTTTGGTTGAATTGGAAGGGACGATTTCAGGCGTCGGAGGGCGTAGTCTTTCTTGCAGTACAACCTACGCCGGATGTTCCTACTACTCGTACAACCTACGTATGACTGTGAGGAGCAAGCGCAGCTTTCCAGAACTTTAACAAATAACTCGAGCTGTCCATCCCTCACATGGTCATTTTTCTTCCTAGATAGTGACCCTCACACATGGTCATGGGCGTCGATGTGCTGGACGTGAACAGAACGTGCTGAGGGGCTCGCATCCGGATTCCCTGAGCCCTGTGTTGTTTGAGCTTGTTTCGCTAATAAGCCATGGCTGAAAATACCGTTGGCTGATTTGGTGTGAGAGAAAAATATTATTTATTGACTGAAAAAGTACGGCTTATAAGCTAAACAAGTATAAACGAACAAGGCCCTTAACTGTACTGTGGTGCGATCTCAATCAGCGCTCAGCCGGTCACCTAATAGATAGTGGATTTATTCCGGACAGTTTGTGGCGGTGTTTGTTCGATAATAAAATACGTTTACATCGCCTTATTATGCTAGTGATAGGAATAGCATCAATTCGTGCTGCACCAGCCATTGCCTCTAATGCGACACCGAACAACTTTTTCTTTTGAGAGAAACATCTAACGGCTTTTCTCTTGTCGACCAGGTCGCAGAACACAATTCCAACGATCTCAAGGTTCAACCACGAGTTCTTGTTGTAAAAAAAAACCACGAGTTCTCAAACATATTTATTTTTTATAAATCCGCCATGCCGTAAAATTAGCCTCCACTTTGCGCATGTTGCGCATGCATCTTTTCTTTTACTAGATGTATCATGTCAAAGTATAAGTATTCCACTATCATAAACCAAATAAAATGTAACCAAAATATTCAAATCCATAAAGAAACTATAAAAGCTAAATGGGAAGCCCTCTAGATTAGAGAATGGGTGTGTGTTGGAGTTGGGGACGTCAGAAGAAAAATTGAAAGTAAGAAAGAAGGAACTATCGAATATGGAGACCTTCAACTCCATGAGCCCCTCTTCTCCTCGAGTGAGCTTCAGGGAAATAGTTAGGCTAGTTGTGGTGGCACCATCTAATGTGATGGAGGAGACTAGTTGAAGAAGGCCAGGTAAGGTGTCATAGTGGCAGTGGTCAATGAGGACAGCAGAGGATGGTAGTAGAGGCATGAAAGCTTGAGTACCATGCCCAGCAATTAAGAAGATGTTGAAGCACTTCATATGGTCCATGGTGCCGGTGGATTAATGCGTCGTATCTCACAATGATAGCGTCACAGAACTACGAAGGATAGTGGGAGAGGCATGGAAGCCTGGATATGAATAGAGTGGTATGTGGAACAAGGGGAGCAAGCGATCCTTGTTAGTTGTTAGCATCGATAGAGGCAAGACACACTAGAGGCCATAGGCACAATGATAGTAGAGGAGTAATAAATTGGGGAGCTGATTTAGCATTGGGCTTATTTAAAGATAACATTTTATGTATAATTGTGCTTTGCCAATATGGAAGAAGTGCATTTTAGTACCGAAACCATTTTTTAACGGACAAAGGCATATTTTGTCCATTCAATTGTGAGGAAGAGAAAAGAACCTTTTATTTCTTCCAAAAAAAAGAGAACCTTTTCATTGATGAGAAATGAACGTTTCAGCGGTATGTTGATCGAATCACAATTATACAAATTTTCATTCATTGTTGTTGGTAAGTAAACCAAACCAAACCAAATGTACCAACGTGATTTTCCTCTCATAAAAACCAAAGACCAAACCAAATTTAAACCAAAGACCAAAGACCAACCAAATGAACAGGCCCATAGTGGCCCCCCCCCCCAGCCCGCTTCCATGAACGGAGTCCTCCTGCACCTACCGTTGCTGATCCCACTAGGCCCCACAGACCAGGCGCACATACCTGGCTTCGCGATCCAGTCCAGCGGTATACCCGCCTACGTGCACCGGGCGCACGGGAGCGGTCGCTGTGGACCTGTGGCGCGGCGGTGCCCCCCAGCCTCTACTCTCCCTCTCGCGCGACCTCACAAGCGCGAACCCCGCGAAGCCGCCAAGCCACGACGGAACTGCCTGCCCCTCGACCTGCCCGCCTCGCGTCCTCCGACGCCTAGGGTTTTCTACCGGGCGCCGCCGCCGCAGCCGCGACCCGGGATGCAGGTGGGCCCGCGCAGTTAGCCCGCCCGCCTTCGGACCCACCGCCGCCGCGCGCCATGTCGCTCCTACGGCGGCGGAAGCAGCAGCAGCCGCCGCCGCCGCCCTCGGACGGCGACGGGTCCGACCACGACGACAACGACAAGGGGAAGAAGCCGTCCTCGTCCTCGTCCTCCGCACCGCCGTCCAAGGAGCCCACGAGGCGGACCAAGGCCAAGTGGTCGTGCGTGGACAGCTGCTGCTGGCTGGTCGGGTGCGTGTGCTCCGCCTGGTGGCTGCTGCTCTTTCTCTACAACGCGATGCCGGCCTCGTTCCCGCAGTATGTCACGGAGGCCATCACGGGGCCGCTCCCGGACCCGCCCGGGGTCAAGCTGCAGAAGGAGGGGCTGCGAGTCAAGCACCCCGTCGTCTTCGTCCCCGGCATCGTCACCGGAGGGCTCGAGCTATGGGAGGGGCACCAGTGCGCCGAGGGGCTCTTCCGCAAGCGGCTATGGGGCGGCACATTTGGTGACGTATACAAGAGGTGCTTTTCTTCTTTTTTTGTTGTTTTTTTTCCGGAATCACAGTAGTCCTCGTGAATTTAATTATATTAGTAACAAGCACTGGAATTTTGTCTGGTTTATGAGAGTTTATTTAGTTTTCGGTTGGTTGGACCCTATCAACTGAATGTTTTTTGTCTATATCGCTTGTGCTTTAAGTTTACTTTGTTTGGTCGTTGATGTTGTCTTTAGAAAATACAGGTACAATGTTTTGCTAATGTTACTCGGAATAGTCCAATGTTACTCTATTCTTGTTTCGTAAATGTTACTGATAGTCAATCGGCCTGGTCTTTGATATATTTGTACTCAAGGTTTTAATTCCTATGAGACTTTGAGATGTCTTTTAAGGAAATTCTTCTTTTGAGAGCCGTGGAGCTATCTCAGTGACAGGGTTCTCACTGTGATCTCGGCAATGATAATTCCTCTATGATTTATCTTTTTTGTTCTTATGCAAGGGTCCAAAAGTTCCTTGTATTTTGATTTCGGCTTGTGCTTGGTGAGTAGGTCGGCGGCCTGTTGGTCCCAATCTCTGTTTTAGCTATGTGGCTTCTCAAGATCTGAAATGTGGCAGCAAAAACGTCTGACTGCTGTCTTGATGTTTTTTTTTTTTTTGAGAGAGAGAGGGTTGAGATTTTTGTTAGTATCACTAGTGGAAAGTGTGCAATATGTGCACTTTGGACCTGCATCTGCACGGAGCTGGTGTCTTGTGAAACTATAAAGCACCCACACTTTTCTTGTACTATTTGCTTACCCTTTACTATTTCTCTCTCATCCTTACTTGGTTTAGATGGTGGGCACATGGGAACTGTTTTTATGTCCTTGAAGAAGAGTAATTATTTTCCTAAATCATGTAGTTTCTAAACTTTCAGAAGAAAACTGCATTTTGCATGGAAAGCTGGAGTTTTTTTTTTTATTTTTTTGGTGTGGTATTAGGCATGCATAGCAAAGTTTCAGAAAGAATTTGGTCCCCTCTAGCAGTTCTATCATTCAGGTATTGCTTTTCTAGAAAGATCCATGTTGCCTGCCATGTACTTTCTGACAAGAGTACTAATCAGAATTTTGACCTTATTAGCCTTGTGTTGTTGAGCTATCCCATGTATACTACAGGGGAAAGAAATGCCTTACACTTTGTCTTAAACAGTTACTTATTTCCACTAACATTTTGGCTGGATCGTTGTTTTTGGTTGCAAATATTTGGTTTCTGTCATTCTGAAAACTGAAGTGCACTAAGCCTCATTGGGCCCAGCATTATTTTAGGTACCAGGAAAATGAGGGATGCAGTTTCACTTTTTTCCCTTCGTCAGTTGAAATCCATTTCACTATGCTCATCATATGAATCTTCCGCTTCAGAAGTTGTTCATTTTGTGTCCTAAGAAATACGAGGACAGGTTCCACAACACATTTTTAGGACATATTTTGACATTACATCTTTATCAAATCAGTTGCGGTGAACTGTGAACAAATGTGATTGTTATGCATATCAGCACCTCTTGTATTTGCATTCTTCCTGTAAGCAGTAAGGTTGACAATAATCGGATGAAAAATAGCCGAAGCATCTTATGCCATAGCAGTTGTGAACTTTTTCTTTGGCTACTGAGTCTTACTTTCTCTTTCTGGTCAAATCTTTTTTTTTTTTCAGACCTCTATGCTGGGTTGAACATATGTCGTTGGACAATGAAACTGGATTAGACAAACCTGGAATAAGGGTCAGGCCGGTCACAGGCCTTGTTGCAGCAGACTATTTCGTCCCTGGATATTTTGTTTGGGCTGTCTTAATTGCCAATTTAGCTCGTATTGGATATGAAGAAAAGACGATGTACATGGCTGCATATGATTGGAGGTTATCTTTCCAGAACACTGAGGTACCCTTCTTCGATGACCTTATACAAGTAAATTTAGTCAGAAGTCACCACGGATTGGCTATTTGGTTCTGAACTTCTGATGCTTGGTGTCTTGGTGATAGTTCCCACTGTGTGTAAATGGTTCTGGTATAGAATGTATTGCCATATTTGTAATGCAGATTACTACATGCAGGTTCGTGATCAAACTTTGAGCAGAATAAAGAGCAACATTGAACTTATGGTAGCAACAAATGGTGGAAATAGGGTGGTGGTGATCCCACACTCCATGGGAGTCCTCTATTTTCTGCATTTTATGAAATGGGTCGAAGCACCTCCTCCCATGGGCGGCGGCGGTGGTCCAAACTGGTGTGAGAAGCATATTAAAGCTGTAATGAATATTGGAGGACCTTTCTTAGGAGTTCCCAAGGCTGTTGCTGGGCTTTTCTCATCTGAAGCCAAAGATGTTGCTGTTGCTAGGTAATTTAAACAGAGTTTGCTAGTTTTAGTAGGTATTTTCATGTTACCAGAGTTGAAGTTTACTAGGTGATGCCTACTGAGATAATATTGTTTCACAATGTTGTTCTTTATAAGATTGCATCTGAAATGTTTCGCCTTTTTTATCTATACTAGTTAGCATACATCAGACTATAGTTTACATATTACTTTTGTTAATGTCATTTGTCTATATGCTTACTCGGTACCATACTAAATTGCACTTATCTTTTCTGGACAAGATCTTCTGTATCTTATTTACTCCATAGCTCTGGCATTCTGATTGCTGCTGATATCTTACATAAAGTAAGCATATAACCATGGTGATTGAGTTTATGCAAGATCAAATGCTTTGTTTTAAATTGACTATAATTACTAATATCTGCTGTGTGATGAAGTTTGTGGGGATTGAGTGGTACACAATCTAGCTTCTAGGTTGCATAAAATCATTTTATATTATGTTAGGTTTAGTCCCACATCTATAATCGATGGTGGGGGAGCACAACATATAAGGTGGGGCAACCCTCACCTATCAGGCTAGTCTTTTGGGTTGAGTTAGGCCCAAGACCTTGGTATGTTGTGGGCTCCGGTGGACCTAGGCCTGAGGGGGTGTCAGCTCGTGTGTATAGCGAGCTGGGCCGGTATCCGCTGCGCACTCTTAACATATTAGCTGATAATACTTTTTGCTCTTTAATATTCTATGATTTCAAGAAATGCATGTTGTTTTCCATTTTTCCATGTATGCAACTATTCTGGTTCAGGTATAAGGCAATTAATTAATTTATTAAAGGAAGGGAATATAAAAAAAATGGAATATTATCCTGAAGTTGTAAAAAATCATATATTCTAGAAAAAGAAAAGAAGCGTTAAACATCATATTATGAACGGATGGAGTAACTTCTGAATTCAAGGTATCACAGCAATAATGCAATCATTCATTCCCTAAAACAAGCACAATCACTAACGCAAGTCTAAGCATTTCTCTGTGACCCATCGTTAATTCCCTAAATTGGGCAGTAATACGTTCACATGGTAAATTTGAGCTATGTTGGTCCTGTTATTCATCCTAAAATGGTGCAGAAGTTACCCTCGTGTGCTTTGTTATCCCACGAGTCATAATGTATGACATGGCATGATGGCAAAGATATCCAAATGTGAGCTTAAATGAATCCAGACAATGTTTAGCATGTGGTTACCAAGGGGTACCAATGTAAACACATTTGAATTGTGTTTTCTGATTTCATTTCAAACATGAACTTGGACTGCTGGATACCTTTCTATCCTGATTTTCTTCTATTTGTTTGTCCAAAGAAAATCGCTCTCCGTGAAAGTAGTAAAATCAGTTCCCCACTAAATTTTGTTGTTTATGTACAGAGCTATCGCTCCTGATGTCCTGGACTCCGATTTTCTTGGGCTTCAAACTTTGCGCCATTTGATGCGTATGACCCGAACATGGGATTCGACAATGTCAATGATTCCTAAAGGTGGTGATACAATTTGGGGAAATCTGGATTGGTCTCCAGAGGATGGCCTTGAATGTAAAGCTAAGAAGCACAAAACCAATGATACCAATGATTCTAAGGATACCAATGGGGAAAATATCGAAGTTCAACCTGAACCTATTAACTATGGAAGGTTGGTATCCTTCGGTAAAGATGTAGCAGAAGCACCTTCTTCAGAGATTGAGCAGATAGAATTTCGTGTGAGTATTCAGAAGCTTATCAACACGTTTTTGCCTGTTTCCTTGGGTGTGGTCTTTTTCTTACACCACTTGTCAATGCCTTTTGCAGTTTGGCTTATTTGATCTGTTTCATATATAGTTTTCTTGTGTAGTATGCATTCATTTCCATATGTTTATAAACTTGCTGATCAAGTTATCGGTTGTGCTAGTTTGAACCTTTCTATTCACCGTAGTCTGTAAATAGGTTTGGATCCAGATGTAGCTCTTGGCTCAGTCTCCCAAAAAACAAGTAGAGAAAATCTTAAAAGACTATTTTAGTTGGGCGAGTTGTTAACAATCAGGACTTAGTGTGGTTTAAAGTTAGTACTAAACACTTCTACTGAGACCATTGAAACAAAACTAGATTTTCCTTCTTTGTGTTGCTTTACATCGGTATTATATGTCACCTCATTGCATTAAGGTATATATTTGGGATAGATTTATGGAAATGGATTATAAGCTGCACATGATGTATTTTTAATATTGGAGCAAAACTGTGCTTTGAGCATTTCAGGATGCTGTTAAAGGTAATAATATCGCCCATTCAAATACGTCATGCCGGGAGATCTGGACAGAGTATCAAGAATTAGGATGGGGTGGAATAAAGGCAGTCGCAGACTACAAAGTTTACACTGCTAGTTCTGTTATAGACCTCCTTCACTTTGTTGCTCCAAGGATGATGCAGCGTGGAAATGTCCACTTTTCATATGGAATTGCTGATAACTTGGATGATCCAAAATACCAACATTACAAATATTGGTCAAACCCCTTGGAAACAAAGTATGAGTTATTTGCCAACATTCCTATTCTATATTTGATAATAGCTATTCTCAGGCTATTTATGTTTCCATTATTCTAGTATTATAACATATGATCATTTCATCTTCAGGCTACCGAATGCTCCTGACATGGAAATATTTTCGATGTACGGAGTAGGCATTCCTACCGAAAGGGCATATGTCTATAAGGTGGCCCCGCAGGCAGAGTGTAATATACCTTTCCGGATTGACACCTCGGCTGAAGGTGGGGAGGAAAATAGCTGCTTGAAAGGGGGTGTTTACTTAGCTGACGGTGATGAAACTGTTCCAGTTCTTAGTGCGGGCTACATGTGTGCAAAAGGATGGCGTGGCAAAACTCGTTTCAACCCTGCCAGCAGCAAGACTTACGTGAGAGAATACAGCCATTCACCACCCTCAACTCTCCTGGAAGGCAGGGGCACTCAGAGCGGTGCACATGTTGATATAATGGGTAACTTTGCTCTGATTGAGGACATCATCAGAATAGCTGCTGGGGCAACCGGTGAGGAAATTGAGGCGACCAGGTTTATTCAGATATATTCAAATGGTCAGAGAAAATCAAATTGAAATTGTAACCCATTGGAAGTTAAAGAAGTGCCAACCCGTTGATTGCGTTCCAAATTGATTGCCTGAGTGCAACTCTGTGGATTTTGATTAAATATTGTAATTTTTCACGCTTTATTCGTCCCTTTCGCAAATTTAAGCCGATGCGATGTTGTACCACTATTTTGGCAAACGTACGGCATTGTATATTAAAATGTACAGGTGTAAGTTACATTTGCTAGCTGAAATTATGTAGTCTTTTTCTGTATGGTTTAAGTCTTAAGTATTTGCTTGGGTATTTTGCCCCCTTTTTGATACGGTCTGTGTCGAAGTTGTAATTGACATAATGATTCTTTATGGACCATCCTGGCATCCTGGAGCAACAGGCAAACTATTTAAAAAATCCTACTTGGTTATTCAAAAGATTTTGAAACTTAGTACATTCTTAGTACATCCATATATGTATTCACATATAAAAGTCAAGATGCAAACTTAAATTAGAACAAAATCATACGAACATAACAAAATTCAGATGTATGTGCATTACAAGACAAAAGCAGAAATGTTCTATTGTAGTGCATATAACAACTAAAATTTATCATTTTCATATGATTTTTTCTAGTTTGAGTCTTCATCTCGACTTTTTTTTCATGAGTATAAATATATGAATGCACCATGGATGTACCTAGTTTTAAAAAATTAAAAATGATCAAAATATGGGTTTTCAAATGGTTTGCATGTTTGCACTAAGATGTACTTTCTCCGTTCCAAAATAAGTCCTCATCACACAATTCGAGAAGTCAAACAATCTTAACTTTTATTAAATGTAAAAAATACTAATATATGTGACACCAGATTAGCATGATTAGATTAATTACATCATATACGTATAAGTCTATTTGAAGATATAAATATAGATACTATTTCTTAAAAACCTAGTTAAAATTGAAATTGGTTACTCATAGATATGTGAGATAAAAATTTACTTTGGATGGAGGGAGTAGTCTGCACCATATATTTTCTCATGGTAGTGATTTGCGCGCGCCCATGCGCGCGAGTCACTGGCCGTGCTTGTATGTGGACAATGGAGCAACACTAACAGATAGTAAACACGATATGCATTTGCCTCCACCTTTCAGATAGTCCAGCAATGCATTCTAAGACAACTGCCAACATATGTCAAAACAGCACATATATATTACACGAGACACAAAGAGTGTTCAAATAGCACTTAGTCTTACACGAGGCAGGCCTACACTGGCACATTAGATGCCTAAGCAGTACATATATTTTACATAGAACGATCTCTCGTAGCAGCGTCAATCACTGAACATGGCAGCTCAGAGGTAACTTTTTTATACACATATATTACTAAAAGATTCATTTGTTCCATAAGAGGTCTTCTGTGAAATCGGCTAAGACACATGATGCTGGAGCCGTGCAAACATGGGGCGAAGTTCCTTTTTTCCCTAGGCAATTGGATATGTTTAGATGGGCACAACTGCTCTGTGGGCTAGGCCGGCTGGCTGTGGTTTCTTGAGCAAAAGAACATGCGGTTGCCTATATGCTGTAAGTCGGCAGTAGTAGGATTGGTCTCAACACACTTCCACACAGAACAATCGTCTACTGGTGGATATCTGGAATTAGGAAGTAAAGATTTGTAAGTACTTAGGTACTCGCTCTGTCGAGAAGTAGTGAAACTAAGCAAATCTAGACCAAATTTACAGGATACTAATATGTACCAGATCAAAGATGCGAATTATGAAAATATATTTCATACTATATCCAATGATATTAATTTGATATCATAAATATTATTCTTCCTATAATTTTGGTCAAAGTAAACAAAGTCATGGAGAAGCATGTTACAAACCATACAAGATCTAAAATCGAAGGGAATTATATATACTGTCCAAAAAGGTAATGTAAATCTATTGACCAAACCTAAGGAAATTCTAGATTGCTGAAATGTCAAGGACATGGAGAAGCCTACATGGATAAATGAAATTTCCTTCCGCCTCCATGCTCCGTACCGTTACTTTGAACATTAACAGCAGCCATTATCAGTTTACAAAACTGTGAGCCATACATAGGAATTGTGGTGAGAATGAAATTCATTGGGAGTTAGTCCAAAGAAAAAAAAGAAAGAAGCACACACATAAATACCTTGCTCACATAAATGCTTTATATCATTCATCCATCTAAAATTCGGCAGTACAGTCCGATCTACTAAGCACCTTCTTCCTTGTCAATGCCTAAGTGGAAGCAAACAACAAACATGAAATTGCATATCTTGAACTCAGCTTCTGCAGCACAATTTTTCTGGCTTCTGCAGCGCTGTCTGCACAGCCCACAGGTAAACCTGTTGGACATCCATCCAGCTATAACATCAGTACAGGGCAAATAGGATGAAGAGCAAGATGCACACTTGACGGGAGTCAGCTACAGTTGAAAAACCTCACCTAGACGACGGTTCCGACCACACAGCCCATGGATCCGGCCAAGTATCCGCCGGAGCAGACGTAGCACAAGAAGCGGCCGGGGCCATGGTCGGGGCACAGCCCAAGGTTGAAGCCTGTATATATACGACATGGAAGGAAATAGCAGGACCATCGATCTCTGAATTTAGACGACCCTCGTTCGATTCATGGGCGTGGCCATTGTGAGGCCACGCCGGCTCCTGTTCTCTTGTCTTTACTAGTGATTTGCGCGCGCCCATGCGCGCGAGTTATGGCCGCAGCTGTCTGAGAAATGAAATAATATTGATACAGAATGAATATGATAGGTTCTATCTGGGAAATGGAATAATGTTGATACGAACCGAACATATCACAGGAGGTGTTTGTTTCCACCACTCAGACCACAGTTAGGACAACACACGTGCCAAAGGTCAAGCTGGATACACTACATATATATTACATGAGACAGGTGTCAAAATAGTACTTATATCTTAATTACATGAAACAGTCCCACACCAGAACGGTAGATGTTCAAATAGTACATAATTGCAAAACTTCATTAAGAAGGAGACAACTAAAAATGTTAATTTAACATGTACCACCTATATGTACAGTAATAATCAAAAAACAAAAATCAATGGATACAAATGAGAGCTACTTTGGTCCATTGGTGTGGATGCGAATTCTGAACCTGCCTGATTCTCTGTTCTCAGAGAACAAAGAAATAGCATTATTAAGTATTCGTACATGTACAATAGGAAATTAAGGAACTCATCTACATTTTTAAGTTATGACCATGAAAGGAAGTACCTCTGAGATGGAAATTTTGCGACAACAACTGGATCCTATTAACTTTCACATAGCTTCTTTTGAGTTTCTGCACAAAACTGGAACTATTCTTCTGTTAGCATTGGAGAAATAATCATATCAAGCTTTGGTAAATTTAAGCAGCTAAAAAATGTAGTTATGGAGACATTGGCATTACATAATCCTAGAAACTATATTAGGGTGTAAAATAGACTGTAGAATCAGGGAAGATAGATATTTTCATTCTTTTGATTTTTATCATGTAAGGTAGTGTTCCGAGTTTTTTCCCTGTGTCATACAACACTTTTCAGACTTTGTAATGAATTCTCTCTGCTGTCATAGTGGACGAAGCTGCACAGTGTTATGCCTATTATCTAAACAAAACAGCAAACAGTTGACTCCACTATCATTAGTTGAACTACGCATCAACTATCAAATTAAACCAATAGTTTCATGAGAAGCAAAAACAGTAATTACCACAGGCAGAGGTGCGCACGAAGATGTGCTTCAATTTCTATTAGCACCAAGTCCATCATTGATGATTGAAACCTATCTGAGTTTGTCAAACTTGGTGGCCCTTTCAGTCAACTTCGCTAACTAAGGTTCCCGAGGTACTTATCCATTACTGCATACACAACAGTAATAAAAAGTGAACCCATGACCATTGGTCCTCCAATGTTCAAACTATGATATGAACAATTGATGTGATCATGCAAAGGAAATACTACTGGAGGTCTAAAACTATCAGAATAGCTTCATGAGGCTTCTGGTACTATAAAAAAGGTTCCTTTGTAGACGGTTAAATAATATGTGAATTGCCGATACACCCACACAGTCTTCTTTTCTTTAGAGGAGGTCCAGTATTGGTGCATATTCAAAATGGTTTATGAACCTGTCCCATATACACTGTTTTGTTAGCTAGAAAAGCTTCAGAACCAGGTTCAGTCAGTAATATTAAAGTATCAGAAACCAATCACTGAGCCAGTTTTCTCAAAATAACTGCTATATTCAAAACCCTTGCCTTTGCTAGTTAGATGTTGCCAATATGTTTTCCTAAAGTCTGCATGAGAAAACCAACAGAACAGGCACTTTGGAAGCCAAATAATCGATAATTCAAATGTGGAAAAACAACCAAGCTTCAGATGGCAAGTAGCGCTCAATGAGAGGGACCGCAGATTTGAACAATAGTATTTTCCCAGCCTAGGAGAGCAGCAGCACAAAAAGCACCAGGTATAAAAAAACAGTAGAAAGAAGAGCAACAACCAGGTTTATGCACATTGTTTTTTTGGCTTTACAGAATAAAATATTCTAATTAACTGTCAGTATTATCTAGATTAAAAAACTATGGAATAGAAATGGAAAGACTGTGGCCCAAATATATCTAAATTTTATGCACATTGTTTTTTTGGCTCTACAGAATATAATATTCTAATTAACTGTCAGTATAATCTAAATAAAAAAACTATGGAATAGCTAGTAGTTATCAATTTAACTGGAAATTGGATAGCATAGGCATTAAGAAAATATTGTAAACATCTAGTATCTGTGTTAAGAAAGACTGCGGGCCATCTTGGTTTTGTCTACAATGAGATATTTCAGTAACCTGCACAAAGGAATCTTATTGTGACATAGTAAATTTTCATCTCTAATTAAGCAATGTGTAAGTAAATAATACAAGAACACAAGCAACAGCTACGGTACAAAAACAGAAGCATTAACAATGTGGAAGAACATCATATATTGATGCGGCTCTGCAAG